CAACTAAAATTGGGTTCATAGAAAGAATATCTGAACTTTAGGGACATTAAGCAATCCATATTATTATTAATCTATAACACATATTCTTTTCCCTCCATGATTTCACATGTTGTTATAAACAAGTAAAGTAAATGAGAATTATATTTTGTTATGCACGTTTGTTTTAAAACCATGAATCTGTTAAGTCCTTAATGTTGAAATAAGAACCACAACCTTATTGGTGAAATCTCTCAGGTGCTTTTAATATTTTCCTTTTTTTTTTGGGTTTAATTTCCCTTACTTAATATACTGTCATTATTTTTAAAGTAATTTTATCTCGAATTAATGAGTACCTTTGTTTTTGAACAACGACGTATGACTGCATGATGGATTCATTTGATGATGCCATAAGTGCTTTCAATTATAGAGGAAAAGTTTAATAAGCAATCAGTGAAATTTTTGAAGGAGCTAATAAGTAATGCAGCGTACGGCACCGGAAACTGCAGATACAAACAGAATTAATTTAAAATTATTACAATCAATACACAAAATAAATAATTGCAGAAAGCATAAAAGAGAAAATGACAAATGCAACAAAAATTACAAAAGCAACAACGCAAAAATTCTTATTTTACGTGCATTACAGCTTACAGCTTGTTAACTCACGCACATACATGCACTAGCATGCTCAAACATGCACAGATATGCAGAGACATGCACATGCATGTCTACAGCAGCGCATAGAGCCGAACTGCAGCAAAGGGCACAGCATAAACGGATTTATGCATTTCAATATGGCTGCCGATATCATTGCTTCAGATTTCGCTGCCATTAACGGATGCGGATGTGCTTATTTTACAATTTTGAAGGCACAACAGCACAAGACAAATAAATGTAGAAAAATTCGCTTTCATTTTGGGTTATTCGTTTTGCTTAATTTTCAACTTTTGCTGATTTTATTGGCAGTTTTTTTCTCAACTTAAATAATTTTTTTCATACTCCATATCCTTGTTTATATTTTTTATTTTAAACGTAAAAATGTTGCGACACAACGCAATTTGTTGGAAAGATAATTGTAAATTATGCTGCTGGCACATGTGAGCCTACCATCCAACCAGTCATCCAACCAACCATCCTTGCGCATTGCAATCCTTGCTCGACGGCACGACTGCATGGTGAGGAAGCCGGAATATTTGTATTGGCGCACATTTGCGGGCAAAAGGTTTAATGTCGAGCCGCGCCGAATGTCGATGCCGGGTGCATATGTGGAAGTATGAAAGGAATTAAGTGAACTTACTGAGTCAGTCAGTGGGTGAATGGAAGTCCTCACATTTTAGCTAAAATGGATTTCGCAGTGAATGTGTTGATGTCTGTTCCACTTATGCACTTGGCGTTTAACATTTGTCGGAAGTTGCTAATTTCACAGCAGCACTAATGAAAAATTCATGCGGTTGCAGATAAAAGTAATTAAAAGTAGTAAATGCTGCCATTTGCCAAAACTTGCCTTACATTTTATCTATTTTATATTGTACAACAAACAGCAGAAGCAAAACAAGTTCATTTCGTGCACTTTGTTGTAATTTAGGCAAATTAGATTTAATATTAATTATTTTAAGTGTATCCTTCTCTTCATCCTTATCCTTCTCCTCCACCTCATCCCTCTCCTTCTTGCTTTTATCATATAACTTTTTTTGGTTTGCCTTATAATGAAAGTTATTTTTTAATTAAACTTCAAATTTCATTCTCAAATATGAGATTCTCAAATATGAGAATAAATCTTTTTATTCTATGTCTGCAAAAGTAAGATACTGCTCACTTGGCTCGGGCCAAGTTATAAGCAAATATAATTAATATACTTTTAATGGTACGAAGAAAAATGAATTACTCATTAATATTAAAGACGCTCTTTTATAAAGATATGAAATGACTCATATGTGATCTCTTAAACTGAAGAAAAATTATTTAAATATATTCACATAAACGGCCTTTATTTTTTATATGTTTAAAATCGCATCTTCCTTACTAGGAATCTAGATTCGTATTCAAATCTTTAAATTATGCATACGGCAATAAAGAGGCGGAAAAAAAAATCAAAAATAAAAATATATAAAAGATATTTAAGAGAATTATGGATATACTCTCATATTCAACTGGTATTAGAGCGTTTTCTTATAATCTGGATCAGGAAGCCGGTGTTGCGCCGTTGAAGTGCGATGCTGGTATAACCTCGTTTTTCACTTTTAGCAGTATGTAGCTATAACATTAGTAACTTTTGGGTTTTCAAAAATGTACATTTTTAAAATGCCATGAAGCACCGGTTACTTGTCATTCAGTACTCTCTGTACTTTCTCAATATTAGAAAAGCGTGCCGTGCTCTATACTTTAATGCCATAAAATTAGATGGATTTTATAGTTGAATTTTCTACTAAAACCTTATTGTTCAAGCTTAATTTCAAATTCCTGTTAATAAGCCAGTGTAGTTGCTGGGACTTCAATTTTCTTTAAACTTTTTTCTGCTCAATAAGGTTAATTCATGTCAGCCTACTGTGAAGATGACAGTAGTCTCTATCCCATCACCATTCCTGCAAACCTTGTTCAAACCATACGCACCAACCCTCCCACTTACTCTCCAAAACCTCATTCTATACTTCGATGAGCGGGATTCGGTTGCGCCCATCGTGCAGCTCTACAAACTTGGCGCTCGTAACTGCTGTCACAGAGTATACCTTTAGTCAAGTCAAAGCAGTCGCGCTTTAACTCCACCGCATCCATCAGCTCTAAATCCCATACTTTCTAGCTTAGATAAACCTACCACTCCTGATTACTAGAATGACGTTACAATATTACTGTAGAAATCTTTTCTATTCATTCCTTAGTGACGGTTTTAGTAGGTTCAAGTCTCACATTGCGGCTTTTAATACTTTCCACATATCGCACAGAAAAACAAAAAAAATAGATGAATCCCAAGATATCAGCTTCAGCTGCTCTGATCAATTGTGGTTGGCAGTATTAATTTGGTATTTATTTACCATCATTCGACGTGAAGCTGCGTATTCATCACCGGATGCTGTGATTCAAAAATCAGCAGAAGTTTTAGATGGACCTAGCTCGTTACGAAGAAGGAAGTTATATCCTTGATACTTAACTTTATTGGAACTGACGAAATTCTTCGGAATTTCAACGGGACATTAATTGACGCAATATATTAACACGTGTGTTTTTGAACACAATGGTACGTATTGAGCCAACAAAACAGGTAATCACGTAAAAAATTCTAGTCAGTGTTATGATGTCAAGTAATTATTAATCCAGCTAGTTCTCTTGATCTGTCAAATTTTATTGCTCAACCCAATTTTTTTAGTAGTATTAGTAGACGTTTATATTTTTCATAAATACATATATACATATATCGAATCAAACCACACTTATTTTGTGAAGTCATATAAAACTACTGTTAATTTCAATTTAATCTTGCTACTCTGCCAAAATATCTATTAATCTCAAGTGTTATATATTTTTTTCGATTGGTAAAAAGTTACCCTAAATTTACCAATTAAAAACTACATAACATACAATAGTATAGCTCACCGGCTTCTGTCTATGTATTGAAAGCACCTGGTTACCCTAGTATAGCTCACCGGTTTCTGTCTAACAATTGAAAGCAGGGAAATACGTGCTGTTCCAGTACCGTTCACAATATTTTGTCTATCCGAATACATTTTGTTTTTGTTCGATTTTGTTTGTTGTTTGAGTTTTTTTTATCAAAGGAAATAAATAAACTAAAATGAAATTAAATTTTTTTTTTAACAAAAAAATCTATATGTCTGTATAAATCTGTGATTATCTATCAATGTGATTTTTTATTTTAATACCTAAAATTTAGCAAAATATTAATTCTTGTATTTTGCATATTGGAATAATTGTTATATTATTAATTTAAAATATATTAATAAAATTTAAAAAAAAAAAATAAATTAAAATAAAAAATAAAAACAATGCGTATGCATTTCAATTTATGATTTTAATGACTCTCGAATATTAAAGCTCACGCTTTCGCAATCCGCATTTAATACTTTTAATTTAATTAAATATACATTTTCAGCTGTTCTATGTACGTGCAGATGTGTGTGGTGTTCATTAAAAGTTTTAAATAAAAATAATAAATGATTAAAATATAGAAAAAAAAGTAAATCATTTACTGCATTGCATAAAAAATATTTTTAATATTAAATTTAATTTTTTTATAAGTGATTTGTTCTGTTCTTAATTTTTTTTTTTATTATTATTTTATTTCATAATTTTTTATAGCTTTTTTTTTGGTTTTTATATTTTGTTGTTTTTTGGTGTTATTCATTTATTACACTTTCCGAACATTTCAACCGAACTAATAAATAATTGACGTGATAACCTCAGATTTGGTTGCCTTTGACTAAATTATAATTAATTCATGAAAAAAACAACAACTCAACAAAAAAACCAAAAAACACAACAACACAACAGCACACATTGCAACAACAAACCAAAAACATATTAACAGAAAGCAATAGCAAAGCAAAAGCAAAAACAACAATAAATTTGGTAGCTGTTAAGAGATAAGCTTTTTTCATCTGAAATTAAGCTCTTTTCATATGTTTCAGGTTTTAAATGCGGTTTTGAGCAATGTTTTAATGATGATTCAAGCGTATGTGTGCGTATGCGTGTGCGTTGTGTGTTTGTGTATAACAAATCACTTCGTGCACTCTTCGTTCTGTGTGGAGTCTCTAAACTAATGATGGCCAGCAACAATATCCCAAGCTTTTGTGTATATATATTTGGTTGTAAGCATATATTGCGATCATTTGTTCATTAGTTTGTTTGTTTGTTTGTTTACAATAATAATAATAATAACTTAATATTGTTTATATTTATTTTTAATTGATTTTATTGTTGTTTCTGTTTTATTAGTGCTGCCGCTGCCGCTGTTGTTGTTGTGTTGTTGTGTTGTTGTGTCGCCGTATGTTTGTTTTTATTCATATTTTTTAGTTAAACTGTAAGGCGGCATAAGCACATATTTAGATTTTGGTCGTTGCTGCATTTAGTCGTGGCTCAGCTTTGACCGGCTAAGGTACGAATGTTTTTTTTAAGTGAGGCTTAACGGATTTATCACTTCTAATTGTTGTTATTATTAATTCAAGCGGGAGAAGTTAAAAGGTACGAAGTGCGAATATGCGATATTGGGCACTTCTAGCTATTTGCGTTTTGCAAATAACCCTGTTGGTGCAAGGTGAAGAGTAAGTAACTTGTTTTATATATATCTTTTATCACATACTGTATATTCTTATTTATTGAAAAAAAAATTATGTTTATTTTAGTTTATTAAATTTAGGAACGTTTTTTTTTTTGTTTAGTAATGACTAACTATCTATACTTTTCAATATAATCAATATACAATGATATTAAAAATTATATATAAAAAAAAAACAAAAAATCAGAACAAAAAATATCTCAACTAAAAAATTTAGGTTTTAGTTCGGCAGTCCAAGCATATTTGTTTCAGGTTGACTCTTCGTTAATTTTTACTAGTTGTGACCATTTAATTAACTAGTTAACTTTAGTAACGCGTAGAGTTATATTTTGTGTAATCAATATAAAACCAGTGATCGCTCGAAAGCGTCAACACTGGCTCAGGTTTATTTAAAAGCTTTCTTTTCATTTTAATGCTCCAAAAAAGCGAACAAAACTTCAAAACTTGAACCAAAATTTTGGTTAATTAAGTTTTGGGGAGAGTACAGTGGTTCATTACTTTAAAAGTCGATATATCAACCATCTAGCTATATTGACATTTAGCGAATTGTAAGAATTAGTCATAATTACGAACTTTACAAAAATCTATTATTAAATTTTGATTCTCTAGAAATCATAATCTGTTCTAAAACCACAAAATATATTTTTAGAATTTCCAAAAAGCTACGAATTTTCCAGTTATATATTATTTATAAAGATTTTTTTTTGTATGACTTGAGGTGATTCCCTATTTTTTTTAAATTATTTCTCTTACTAACAAAATAAGCGAAAGTTTCAGGGTGTGTCACATTTCACATTATTACTAAAGTAGGTCTAGGTCTGGAAATAAAAATTTTATTAACCTCTCAAAAGTGAATTTTAATCACCTTCGTCCATCGAATTGATGAGTTGTTTTTTCGAATATTTAAAAAAAAAAATATAATAATAAACAAGTTACGAAATTTGCTGAATTAATAATAAATTTTGCAATAATATGTCTCCTGTTGCTTATCGGTGTTTTTTTTTTTTTTTGCATTATATAAATAAAAACTTCTTATATAATATGAAATTTATTTAAATTTCAAAAATTTTACATAATTTCCTAACATTCTAACAAATGTTTAAGAATATGGGATGACAAAATGTTGATATGAACAAATGTTATATTAGTACATACTTTTTGGTATATATTATCACTACGTATATTATCAACAAGTACATTATTAATATACATCAAGTCATGTACCAAAAAAAGTTTTTAAATTCATAAATTAAATTATTGTGTTAAAAATGTTTAAATGATTAAAAATGTAGAATATGCAATTTAAGAAAAAAACATAACAAAAAAATCAATGTTAGATATAAGTCAAGCCTCTAGATTTACACAAACATCTATGTTATGAATATAGGAACAAGTCTCACTGAAAACGTTTTAAAAAAAATTTTTTTTGACTTTGTCTCATATATAGAACTTAAAGTCTATAACGATAATGTCTACTGCAAAGTCTACATAGAGCCTTAACTCTATATGGTATTCAATTGGTCTATGCTGGGTTTGCGATCAGTCAGAATAACTCAAATGTTTTACAGAATAATTAATAAAATTTTTGCACCTGTACTAAAAATTAAATTTAAAAAAAAAAATCAATTTCATAGATTCTGGAAATTATAAATTACAGCAGATATTTTGTACTGGCCCCAGAAGACACAGTCTCCTAATTTTATGCATATGATAATTTTGTATGCCTGAATTCACATCAAGTTGCTATCTTTGCTTTCATTTGATTAAATATTAAAAAAACGTATGAATGAAATGAAATTGTAATCAAGATGAAAAAGTATGAAAATCGTAGAATATATACATATATGTATAAAAAAGATTAAAAGATAAAAAAGGTGTTTAATTTTTTCTTCAAGAACAGTGCTTTTCGAGTATTACAATGGTGCAGCCCTTTAATGATACTCAAATTCGAATATTTCAAATGGTCTACAATGTTCAACCTACTCGAATAGCAACCCTGCTTTATGTTTCATTTCGTCAGTACATGCAATAACCAATGTTCGAACAATTCGATGTTCAATGTTCGAGCAATTTCGAGAGACAAGCCTAATCATAGCCTTCAATAATTCGAATAATATTTAATGTTTATCTCTGATTCTATTTCTAAACATACAAATTTTTAGTTGCAGTGAAAATGCGAAAATAATACGTATTTGAATTCGAACATAAAAACATTGCCTAATTCTAACCAGTGTAAACACCTTGATGCATTATCTAAAAGACATGTTTCATCAAATATATAGTTTATAAGAGAAGATGTACATTTCTGCCAGCTCTTTCAACCTTCTTGTTTTTTAAAACGTAACCACCTCACTATTTAGAAACTTGCTTAAGGGCTTGGGCTGAACTAATACAAAGGGTATGTTAGTTGTATTTTGGGTATACCATATTTAATCGAAAATGCTTTGAGCTAGTTTTATAAATCTACTCCTTATCTATTCTTTTGTAGTTTTCCTATTTTTGTCTTCAATTTACTTTTAGATTGTCCTCGATATGTATGTCTTTAATAAAGCATAATTAGAAAGTTCTAGAATTGTGTTGCTCTATATCGAAAATTCTTAGAGTTTTGAAATAATGAGTTTCTTTTTTATTGCATTGAACTTAAAAATTCTTGAATTTCTTTGATTTATCGTGTTCTTCTATTGTTAGAAACAATAGCTGCTAATTTTGACCATAAAGCATATTTAATGGTTAGGTTAGATAAATTCAGCTGTGACTGTAAGCCACGTAAATAACGGATCGTCGCCAATTGAATCTCTATATTGATTATGTAGAACACATTTTTGGAAACTTAAGGAGTGCTTTAAGTTCAATTTTTGAGACAGAGCTATTAAGATTAAAGATTTTGAAATCGTTTTTTCAAACCAAACCTATTATATACGTATGGTGTCAACAATGTGTGGACTAGTCAAATATATTCTAACAAAAAATATTCTAAGAATAAAGATTTTGAAATCATTTTTGTAAACCAAGCCTCGATGGGATTTGACTAGATGTGGATTAGTTAAATATATATTAACCCATGAAATCCTAACCCGAGTAGTAGGAAATTTTTTACTTAATATTCAAACGGAAGTTTAGAAATATACAACAACACTTCCAAATAATTGTTGATAATAGAAATACCAACATTGTAAAGTTGTCAAAGATTTGAAATATCTTAAGTAATTCAGGTTTGTTGAATAAATCAAGGTATATAATGTAATAAAGACACACATTTTTTTTAACTATATATAACCAAAGATACAATTTAACAAAAAGTGATAGCATGAGATTGTTAATATCTTGTGTTTACCGCTCAGCTTTTATTAATGGTCTTAATAGTCAGAACTGTTCAGTGAAAAAAACATTTATTGTTCATCTCAGTACGTTCAAAGATTTAATGATATTTCTGAATTCTGAATTTTTTTAATTAGCAAAACAATTACCTATCAAGTTGCTAGTCGCTAATCTTCACAAATTATTCAAAATGTATAATGTATATATATTTCAATGTACGGTCAGACAGAAAAATCTGTCGGTGTTATTATTAGTTGTGTTCTGTTAATGGCTCTTATCTTCAACTGTTGATAAAAGTTATAAAAAAATGTAAAAACAATTTTATTTATTTATTTTGTACCTGTTTATTTCTGGTTCTATTTCTAATCGAATGAGATATATTCATAATAATAATTTTTATGTTCATCATATAATTGAGTATCTTCTTAACAAAAATAGGAATTTACTAAAATTTTGTCATCTTTATATTTGTTTAAAATTAATAAAATTTGTACAGTAAAAAGTTTATTAAATTAGATGATTAACACATAATAAAAATAATATTTCAAAACAATTAGTTTTCGAATTTACTTGTATATATAGTATTTAAATTGAATATTATAGAAATGTAATTTTATAAATATAATATATAAATAAATATTTTATACATTAAATTAAATGTTCACCACAGTTATGTTATTATATTTCCTGTTATTTAACAGCTGCTGTTAATGTCATGTTAATTTAATGTTAAATTTGAACATTAACTGTTCAAATTTATACAAATATGGCATGCTAAGAGACATCAAAATTGATCCCATAAAAAAATACATAAAGAATAGAGCCCGGAAATTATTTACGAAAACGGACAGACTTACCAACACGGTAAACGGACAGACTTATCAAATCTGAAAATGGTTACAGGCTCCTCGGGGAGGTATGCAGATCTGAGGTTAATTATTGCTTAGTCTGATGAAGTGACATACAATAATCTAGTCAAGGTATAAAAAGGGGTTTTGAAAATACCTCGAGTTAAGAAAGAGTAAAAGTGCTTAAGTGCACTGGCTCAAAACAGCTTCAACATAATAATAGCTAACGATTGATTAATAGCGGAATTAGTTGCACAGTAAGAAATCAGCTGTCCCGACGTAACCTATGAAAGACAATGCATTCAATTATTCGTACAGAAGAAAATGTAAAGGGAAACATAGGCAAATTTTATATCAGCTGATATAAAAATTAAACAATCTCTCTTGGCATTCGTTTGGGTGTGTGAAGTATTTGGTGTTCGAATTAAACTTGTGTTGTTTGTGTTTTTATGCTAGAAGATTTCTGGTTTTGTGTGTGTTATTTATTAGTTTTTTCGTTACATTCTCTACTTGCATTATATTAACGATAACTAATTCAGCCTTTGTTCTTGATAATTGAACTATTCAGTGAATCCGTATAATCGTATATACAACGAATTACTTGAATAAATCAAAATATGTAAAATATATGCTCATTTTCGCATATCAGAATGTTTGAAAACTTCAAATTGTATATTAGAATATTCCTGACGAAAATAAAAAAGTAATTAATTTACTTATAATTTTTTAAAAGTATTAATTAAATTAAATGAATTATGTCAGTGAAAGGAATGCATAATTTAAGCCTCTTTCACATCTTAGCAAAGAGTTTATTTGCCCT